AAATATTTAATTCTTTTGTGATTGTATGTTTTAAGTTTATTTAAATTAGCAATTTGAGGTTTTGGACAATTTTATCCGAGAAACCATTTATTTATAAGTGGTAGTTATAGTTCTGGAATAGGAGATAATGACCTACTTAACCCATAGCATAAGTGAAACATTACATTTAAGTAATAAAAAATGGAAAATATTTTTTAAAAAGAAAAATAAAAATTTTTATAGTATTAGTTGTTAAAATACCATTGAATAAGTTTTTAAAGTTTAACTTAGGTTCTAGTACTTGAAAGAAAGGCAATCTATTTTTATAATTTTTTTATTGGAGTTCAATTTGCCAACATTTAGCATAACACCCAGTGCTCATCCCGCCAAGTGCCCCTCTCAGTGCCCATCACCCAGTCACCCCAACCCCCAACTCACCTCCCTTTCCACTACCCCTTGTTTGTTTCCCAGAGTTAGGCGTCTCTCATGTTTTGTCACACTCACTGATATTTTCACTCATTTTCTCTCCTTTCCTGAAAGACAATCTTAATTAGAGGAAAAAAGGTAGATGGATACTTATAGTGGTTTGAGGGGATCTGCTGAGTACTTTCAAGCTTTTAGGATTTGATGGTAGTGGTTCTTATGTCTAATTTCACTAAGGATTTAAGCCATTTCCATTTCTGTGGCTGGTGCAATACCAACACTGCTCTTATACTCAGCAACCAGGGCCCACAACCAGGGCAAATTTTCTACTCGCAAATAGAGAGAGGCACATTTTCCAGTATGCCAAGTATTAAAGGGGAGTTTGGTGAATGTGAGTGAAGGAAACTGAGCTGAGAGTGGTAAAAGATAAGATAAAGGACTTTAATGCTAAGACAGTAACGTCTGAGGAGGACCAGGGCCAGGACTAGGGTAAGACAAATGAGGGGCCTGTCGTGCCCATCCTCCACTTGCTTGAACCTGAGACTGTTGTGCCCTATGACAGTGACTCTGAGGTCTGTCAGTGGGAAAGAGCAGTGAGAGCCATGGAATGACTGGATATTAAGGCTCTGGGGATCCCAGTAACAAGGGTCTTGGGTACAGGAGTTCAAACCTAAGCAAAGACTGCAGATTGGAATCCAGACATTATGTGATAGAATAAGGCTCAAATCTCAAAGTAGACTATTGGAGGTCAAGAAAGGCGTCACAGAGGAGACCTGTGTTGGAATCAGAAAGCTCTTCTCAGGCCAGAAAGGTGTGGGAAGAAATGTGATAATAAAGACAGGTGAAAACAGTAGATACAAAGGCATGGAAGTGTGAAATAGGTTTAGTGGCTGGAATTTAGGGAGCTGTAAATGATGAGGTTGGTGACCATGTTATGGAAGGATTTATAGACCCTGTTGTAGATTTGAACTTTGTGTCTGTGAACCTTGGGGAACCACTGAAGGGTTTTTATGCTTGGAAGTGACATGGTTAGATTTGTGAATTTAAAAAATTAAGTATTTTCAAATATACTCATAAGTAGAGCAAATAGTATAATGAACTCTCATAATACCCATTAATCACATTTAGTAATTATCAAGATTTAGCTGATTGTGTTTCAGTTATCTCTTTTTTTCTTTTTCTGTTATTTCTTTCTTTTAAAAAATTTGCTGGGGGCGCCTGAGTAGTTCAGTTGGCCAGGCATCTGCCTTCAGCTCAGATTGTGATCTCAAGGTCCTGGGATCCAGCCATGAGTCAGGATCTCTGCTCAGTGGGGAGTCTGCTTATCCTTCTCCCTCTGCCTCCCCCTCTCTGTTTTCTCTCTCTCTCTCTCAAATAAATAAATAAGATCTTTTTTAAAATTTGCTCAAGTATTTTAAAGCTGATCCCATACATCATGCTTTTTCATCCCTATTAATTTCATAAGCATGTCTCAAAGGTAGATGTTTTCTTGTATAACCATGCTGGGATTATGCTATCTTGCAAAATTAATAATTCCTTAATAATCTAATCCCCAGTTTATTATAAAAGTTACCAGATTATCTTAAAACATTGTCTAATAGTTGGTTAATTCATATAAGGATCCAAACAAGGTTCACACATTACATTTGGTTATGATCTCGTTTTCCCCCCAGCTTTATTGAGGTTGCTATAGACTAAATGTATATGTCCCCCCACACATTCATATGTTAAAACCTAACCCCAATGTAATGGTAATAATGTAATGGTAATAAGAGGTGGGGCTTTGGAGAAGGGATTGAATCATGAGGATGGAACCCTCATGAATGGGATTAGCACTCTTATAAAAGAGACCCCAGAGAGATCCCTCACCCATTCCACCATGTGAGAACACAGCAAGAATAGAATCATCTATGAACCAGGAAGCAGGCTTTCACCAGACTTAATTTGCCAGTGCCCTGATCTTGGAATTCGCTGCCCTTTGAACTGTGGAATATAAATTTCTGTTGTTTATAAACCACCTAATGTATGGTATTTTGTTATAGCAGCCCCAACAGACTAAAACAAAGTATAATTGACAACTAAAACTTGTATGTATTTAAGGTGTATAACTTGGTGATTTGATATATTTGTGAAATATTCTCCACACTCAAAGGCGAGGGAGGTAATGGGGGAAGAGTTAATCAAAGGGGTATGAAGTTTATTTATGCAAGATGATTATTATCACTTAAGTCTTTCTTAATCTAAAGCACTGAATCTCACTTTTTCTTTTTCAAGCCATTGGCTTATTGCAGAAAGTGGGTCAGTTGTCCCATAGGAAATCCCACATTATGGATTTGTCTGTTTGCTTTCTTATGCTGTCATTTACTTTGTTCCTCTGTACTCCATATTTGTTTATGATGGGCATTAGTTTTAGAAGCTTGATGATATTCAGATTCAACTTTTTTTTTTGTCAAGTATACTTCACAGAGGTTTCTATGTAATTCACTTTGAATCACATCTGGAGGCACATGTCTAAATGAACAGATGATACCTGACTCCTTCATTATGATGTTTCCCATCAATCTTATATCTAATGGTTTAATCCATTGATGATTATTGGCAAAAGTAATTATTTTACTAGGAGTTTCAAAATGGTGATTTCCTAATTTTATCTTCTACAGTAATTAGTTTCTGAAAGTAAACTTTCTGTCATCAACTATGTCTGTTGGATTACCTTTAAAGAGAAGGTAAGAGAAATGCTTAATTCTTGATCTTGAACTTAATTGGCAATTTTCAGAATAAAAAGTTGGTGCCCTAGTTACTTATTTTCAGTGATATTTAATGAATTGTTTTTGTTCTCTCTCATTGTGAACTCGTGTTTTTAAAATATGTATTCAATGGGTTTCATTGATTGGATTCATTATTCTTGTTTTTTTTAAGATTTTATTTATTTATTCATGAGAGACAGACAGAGAGAGAGAGAGAGGCAGAGACATAGGCAGAGGGAGAAGCAGGCTCCATGCAAGGAGCCTGACATGGGACTCAATCCAGGGTCTCCAGGATCAGGCCCTGGGCTGAAGGCAGCGCCAAACCGCTGAGCCACCAGGGCTGCTCATCATTATTCTTGTTAATGCTCAAATCATCCTATATTTTGCCAGAGCTTTGCCTCCTATATCCCTTTGACACTACTCATTAAGATTCCATACTTGCTTGATTTCTGGCACAAAGCTTACATGTATATTTCTTTCCCCAAACCTGCCATTTCTCCTAAGGAGCTCTGATTTGTATGTTCTTTTTTAGCAACAGCTTTATTGAGATATAATTTACATAGCATAAAGTTCATGTATTTAAAGTATACAATTCAATGAGTTTTAATAAATTTATATAATTGTGCAACCATGCCCACAATCCAATTTTAGAATATTTTCATCAGGCTATGAGATCTCTTGTACCCTTTTCAGTCATTCCCCTCTCCCACCCCTAGCTCCAAGCAACCGCTAATCTGCTTTATGGCTCTATTGGCTTGCATTTTATAGAGATTTCATATGAGTGGAATCATACACTATATAGCCTTTTGCATCTGGATGCTTTCACTTAGCATTAGTTTTTTTTATTATTGAGCTGTAAATCACATACCATAAAATTCACCACTTAAAAGTATATGACTTAGTATTTTTTAGTATATTCACAAGGTTATGCAACTGTGACCATTATCTAATTTCAGAACATTTGTTTCACATCTGAAAGGAACTCTGTACTGGTTATCAATCACTTTTCACTTCTCCTTCCACCTAGCCCCCCCCCACCCCTAATCTGCTTCCTGTTTCTATAGATTTGCATACTCTGGATAGTTCATATAAATGGAATGATCCAGTGTGTGGCCTTTTGGCCTGGCTACTTTCATTAGTGTAGTGTTTTCAAGGTTTATTCATGTCGTAGCATCTAGCAGTACTTTTTTCATTCCTTTTTGTATCTGAATAGTATTCCATTGTATAAATGCACTGTCAACCTTAAAAGTATAATAGCTAGTTAATGTACCAGCAAAAAGGGTTTAGTTGGGAGTAGCAGAGGAATGGCAATTCAGGACAAGACAGCTATAGCAAAAGCCATAGACAAGTACAGAGAAAAAAGGAGAGGACTGCTCTTTCATAGAGAAAAGGAGGGGGGGTGTTGGGAGGGGCTATTATAAACAAAAACTCCATTAGTGTAAACTGGGAGTTTGAAGTGTAGTGGATTTTCATTGGCTGAGTTGTAATGGTCTCCCATTGCTGTTGCTGGGCAAGGAGGAAATCTTCCTCCATCCTGCTGGGATAGTAAAGTAAGTTTCTTACCCTTGGGTCTGCAAAGGGTTTCAAAGAGTGGTGTGGCGTGAGATCGCCCGCCCCCTTCTGGCATCCCGGTAGCACTTTATTTTATTTATTTATTTTTTTTAAGATTTTATTTTATTTATTCATGAGAGACACACAGAGAGAGGCAGAGACACAGGCAGAGGAAGAAGCAGGCTCCATGCAGGAAGCCAATGCGGGACTCAATCCCAGGACTCCGGGATCAAACCCTGAGCCAAAGGCAGACGCTCATCCACTAAGCCACCCAGGCATCCCTTATTTCACTTTTTAAAATAAAATATGGAACGCTTCACGAATTTGCGTGTTATCCTTGCTGAGAGGCCTTGCTAATCTTCTCTGTATCCTTCCAATTTTTAGTATATATGGTGCAGAAGCAAACATATTTGACTGCATTTTATTATTTATTTATTTATTTTAATATTTTATTTATTTCCATGAGAGACACAGAGCGGCAGAGGCATAGGCAGAAGGAGAAGCAGGCTCCCCACAGGGAGCCCGATGCGGGACTCGACTCCCCTGGACCCGGGATCACACCCTGAGCCAAAGGCAGACGCTCAACCACTGAGCCACCCAGGCGTCCCTTGACTGTATTTCATTTTATTTTTTTTTCCTTGACTGTATTTTAAATGGGGTTTTCTTTATTCAGTTTCACAGTACCTTATCTCATTTATCAGTTGATGGACATTTTGTGTTGTTTCCATTTTTTGGGTCATATATGGTTACTATATTGTTAACCTTTTGAGGAACTGTTACACTGTTTTCCAAAGCAGCCACACCATTTTACAGCTCCACCAGCAGTGTAGGAGAGTTCTAGTTTTCTCCCCATCCTTGCCAGCACTTGTTTATTCTCCTTTTTTAAAAAAAAATCATAACCATCCTAGTGGGCACAACCAGTTTGGAAAACAGTCCACAGGTCCTTAAAAGGTTAAGCTCAGGTTCTGATACCCAGCCCCCAGAGGCTGTTATGGTTTTGTTTCTTTTTTTGTTTAATGACCTGCCTTGACTAATTCTGAAGAGTCTATCTTCACAGAATGTACATAGTGTGTAGCCCATTGATATTTCTCTTCAGTTTTTTAAAAAATGTTTTTTATTTGTAAGCCTGGCTTCCTAAGTGTCCTACCTGGGGTCAGGATAGTTTAGTGGTCAGCCAATGCTTTCTTTTAGATGTTGTCTTTAAGCACCTTGGGATCTTATTGTCTTCTGCCGTTTTTTTTTTTTTTAAGGTTTCATTTATTTATGAGAGACACACAGGGAGAGGCAGAGACATAGGCAGAGGAAGAAGCAGGCTCCTTACAGGGAGCTCAATGTGGGACTCGATCCCAGGACCCCAGGATCATGCTCTGAGCCAAAGGCAGACGCTCAACCACTGAGCGACCTGGGCATTCCATCTTCCACCGTTTGTTGATTAAATAGTGTGTGGGTTAGGCAGCAAATTCAAAGTTCGGGGAGTTTATGGATCTTACCTGATTTTTACTTTCTACTAGGCTTTCTTATGTGTTCCCTTTGCCCGTGCCAAGCTTCACATTCAGCCAGGGAAGTGTAGATAACTAGGGCCCTCTCCAGTACCCTGAGCTTGAGTTTAGCCTTGCATATGTGCATAGCCTTCTAGATCACCAGGGATATGAGAGAGTTTATCAAGTCCCAGTAGAGCTGTCTTGTTTTCTAATCTTTCTACTAAACTTTTGGCAGGCTTGCCGTTCAGTTGCTTCTTGTCCCACCAATACTGTGACCTCAGGTAACTGTGATGTGTTTTTCCTTGATCTAAGGAGTTTGCTTTTGTTTTCAATACCCCTGGGCATAGGACTTTTTTGTGCTTATTCCTGAACAAGTAATTCCCCTCTAGCAGCCAAGTTGTTAGTTTTTATGGCTTGTCTTGCCCTGCCCTTGTAAAATAAGCTCCAGTGGAGCTAGCGGGGTGGGGGTGGGGGTGAGGGTGTGTGTGAACAGCCTGAGGCTGAAACACCATAGATTCCCTCTGTTCTTACCCAAGATTCAGTGGGTTTTCTTGAACACTTGTCAACTTATTGTTTAATTTTTGTCTATTTCTAGAGTCCTGAAATGGTTATTTTTGACAATTTTCTACAGCTATATTGTTGTTTTGGGAGGGGGGAGATTCGCTGAGCCCCTTACTCCGCCATTCCTGAAGTCTTGCCTAATTTATATTTTAAAAGATAATTCTGATAGCAGTGGAGGTGGTCAGTGGTGGGGAAACTGGTGGTCAGGAGTATAGGATTTTACTCAGTAGTACTTTGTTATCTGTAAACAGGAATGGAAAATATAAATTGTTGGGTTGGTTTGTGAGTGGGGAATGGCAGAATAGGTATGGTGGAAAAATCAAGGGGGTAGGAGAATGGAGAGTGCTGGTTACTGTCTTTGAAGACAGGGATATGCCTCACTATCCCTAGAATCTCTCTTAGGTAGAGAAGGGACAGGGACAGGGATATGCCTCACTATCCCTAGAATCTCTCTTAGGTAGAGAAGGGGGTAAAGTTTAAAGGGACATGGTGGCCTCGGAGAATAGGTAGGAGGGCTGATGAATTAAAGGCATTGAAAAAGTCAAAGTGTAAATTCAAGGAGTGTAAGATGTTGGAGAGGTAGGAAAACAAGTAGTTCTGAGAGTAGACGTGGCATTTGGTTTTAGAGGTAGAACCCTTCCAGGGGTCACTGCAGAAATAGATGATTGAAACAGTTGAGATGAAGAAATTAGAATAGAATATATCAAGGAGTAGTGAAATTTGGTTGTTAGATCATGAAGGGGCATGATGAAGGCTTTCAGGATGAAAAGGTGAAAAGAAAGTACTATTAAAGTCCTTGGTAAACATAAGGGAGAGACCTGGAAGTTGACATTTAACATTCAAAGAGTGAGATAAAATTGAGTAGTATGGACTTTAAAGAAAGAAGGGTTGTTGAGGGAAGGTAGTGAAATAATACTTTGGGGATCCAGTAAAGAACACATGAGAAGATGCTAACCTGGTCTTGACTTATAGGAAAGAGTGAGTAAAGGAAAATGAGCAGCCTCCTATCAAGGGCTCTGCAAAGGAAACAGTAGAACTTGGGACATCCAGAATTAAGAAGAGGAACTGGAGGCTCAGTGAATGAGCAAGAACAAAAGTGAGAAGGTTTTAGGAACTGGTGGATAGTTTTGGTTTTTTTGTTTGTTTTTTTTTTTGTTTGTTTGTTTGTTTTGCTTAAGCATAGGGTGCAATCGGGGTATAATAGGAGATAACATTTAAATCTATGTGATTGGGAGGCCTGGGTGGCTCAGTGGGTGGGCGACTGCCTTTGGCTCAGGGCGTGATCCTGGGGTCCTCGGATCGAGTCCCACATCCAGCTCCCTGCATGGAGCCTGCTTCTCCCTCTGCTTGTGTCTCTGCCTCTCTCTCTCTCCATGTTTCTCATGAATAAATAAATAAATTCTTTTAAAAAAAGAAATCTAGGGAACCCTGGGTGGCGCAGTGGTTTGGCCCCTGTTTTTGGCCCAGGGCGCGATCCTGGAGACACAGGATCGAATCCCACATCGGGCTCCCAGTGCATGGAGCCTGCTTCTCCCTCTGCCTGTGTCTCTGCCTCTCTCTCTCTCTGTGTGTGACTATCATAAATAAATAAAAATTTAAAAAAAAATAAAAAATAAAAAATAAATCTATATGATTAGTTTGAATATAAAATATAACTGGAGTCATTATTGTCTAAAATATTATTAGTCAGATATTTTCTTTTTTTTTTAGTCAGATATTTTCTAAGTCAGATATTTACTAAGGAAACTTTGAAGTTATCTTGCTTAGATATTACAGAAATTTTGGAACTTGCTTAGATATTACAGTATTGCTAGCTGGGAAGCAATTTGACAGCTTTGGAATATTTTGACTATGACAAATGGGAAATTGTTGTATATTTGATAAGTCATTAATGCCACCATTGGAATTGAAATTGACTATGGATCACAGTTTTGATAGGAATGTGTCTAGCAGATGTGATGAATTTTGGTACTTTTGTAATTAGAAACTTGGAGTTTTAAAAATGTATTGAGGGTCTTAAAAGCCATCTACGAAAAGCCCACAGCAAATATCATTCTCAATGGGGAAGCACTGGGAGCCTTTCCCCTAAGATCAGGAACAAGACAGGGATGTCCACTCTCACCACTGCTATTCAACATAGGAATAGAAGTCCTAGCCTCAGCTATCAGACAACAAAAAGAAATAAAAGGCATTCAAATTGGCAAAGAAGAAGTCAAACTCTCCCTCTTCACTGATGACATGATACTCTACATAGAAAACCCAAAAGCCTCCACCCCAAGATTGCTAGAACTCATACAGCAATTTGGCAGTGTGGCAGGATACAAAATCAATGCCCAGAAGTCAGTAGCATTTCTATACACTAACAATGAGACTGAAGAAAGAGAAATTAAGGAGTCAATCCCATTTACAATTGCACCCAAAAGCATAAGATACCTAGGAATAAACCTAACCAAAGAGGTAAAGGATCTATACCATAAAAACTATAGAACACTTCTGAAAGAAATTGAGGAAGACACAAAGAGATGGAAAAATATTCCATGCTCATGGATTGGAAGAATTAATATTGTGAAAATGTCAATGTTACCCAGGGCAATTTACACGTTTAATGCAATCCCTATCAAAATACCATGGACTTTCTTCAGAGAGTTGGAACAAATTATTTTAAGATTTGTGTGGAATCAGAAAAGACCCCGAATAGCCAGGGGAATTTTAAAAAAGAAAACCATAGCTGGGGCATCACAATGCCAGATTTCTGTACTACAAAGCTGTGGTCATCAAGACAGTGTGGTACTGGCACAAAAACAGACACATAGATCAATGGAACAGAATAGAGAACCCAGAAGTGGACCCTCAACTTTATGGTCAACTAATATTTGACAAAGCAGGAAAGACTATCCACTGGAAAAAAGACAGTCTCTTCAATAAATGGTGCTGGGAAAATTGGACATCCACATGCAGAAGAATGAAACTAGACCACTCTCTTTCACCATACACAAAGATAAACTCAAAATGGATGAAAGATCTTAATGTGAGACAAGATTCCATCAAAATCCTAGAGGAGAACACAGGCAACACCCTTTTTGAACTTGGCCACAGTAACTTCTTGCAAGATTCATCCATGAAGGCAAGAGAAACAAAAGCAAAAATGAACTATTGGGACTTCATCAAGATAAGAAGCTTTTGCACAGCAAAGGATACAGTCAACAAAACTCAAAGACAACCTACAGAATGGGAGAAGATATTTGCAAATGACCTATCAGATAAAGGGCTAGTTTCCAAGATCTATAAAGAACTTATTCAACTCAACAGCAAAGAAACAAACAATCCAATCATGAAATGGGCAAAAGACATGAACAGAAATCTCAC